TCGTTTCGGGTGAAAACGTGCTGAGCTTTCGTCCATTATATGATGGACATCATCAGAGCTGGGTTTCATTTCACTAAAGCAAGAACACTTTCCGGCTTCATCTTACTACTTATATGGACTCAGTCGAGTCAATAGATTAAACATTACAAATCTAGACAGATCTAAAAACGAATCTCTTCTTCACGTACTTTCATTCGAAATGAAGGTCCCCCTAACAATAGAAATGAAAGTCATCAATGGTATATCAGAAGATTTGTCTAAAACTATGTTGTCCGGCCGTGGTGTCTTCACAATTCGCCAAATACAAAGCACAAAACACAAAGCGCGAAGCACAGCACAAAGCACGAAGCTCAAATCTATGCGCCATAACAAAGCTGTCCGCCACAATTCCTTGCTTTTCACTGCCCCCTGCACTGGAAGTGAAGCCGCCGCGCCGACATTATGGCCAAGGCGTGGAGAGTGACCTTGAGCTGGCACGACGAGGACGAGATAAACGACCTGGATGCCACCTGGCCCGAGGAGGCTGCTAGTCAAGCTCCGCCCGACTGAGGGCAGGATGAGTCATGCCGCGCCCGCTACAAAAGTACATAAATGGGCCTTCATGTTCGAACGCGCCTGGCCTGAGACGCAATGTCTCAACTTTTGTAGTCTTATCGATTCGTCACTCTGTGCCTGAGGCGATGGCCGCAGCGCCTGGCCTGAAGCCTGTGGTGGCCTTTCTTAAAAGGGTGCTCATTTGAACCAGGTCGATTAAGTCGTGTTAACGGGGCGCTTGATGCTGTGCGAATTCGGCCGGAGCTCTACGCCATAACTGGGTGTCGCCAATGCATGACACAAGGGCTCTGCTGGGTAAAATCGCTGGCCAACGGTGTACGAGGGCGGAGCAGGCGTCCAATCTCTGAGCCTGTCAGGCGAAACGCCAAAACCGTTGAGCCACAGATGGCCCTTTCGCGGCCCTCTGCATCATCGGCGGCACTCGGGCCATTTTGCGTGAACATTTTTCAGTTCTCAGTTGACCAAGGAGGGTAAGAATATTTTGCATTTAATGATGCCGCCATTGATTTACATCATATGCAGGATGATCAAGCGTAGCCTGGCAGCCGCAGGCAGCTATCTTGACGAAGGAAGGTTGGGCTAAGAGATTGGCTCCAACTTCGGACCACATGCTTATAGGACAAACGGTTCAACGCTTGGACGAAATGCCCACAAAATTGTCGCCTCAACTAACTTGGATGTCATAAAATGGAATGTGTCAG